GAKCYYMMACCAGMTACCAAACGTTTTGGCGCCAACGTCATTTTAAAGCCGAACTGCTCTACAGTCGCCATYACAACACTTACAGCAATTACAACAACATTAATATAGAGAGCGCGAGAGTGCATTTTCTAATAAAGTAATATAAAATCTTTATTGGTTATTAATTCTTTTATCTCACACACTATACAGGTCTAATTACTCTATTATTCCTGTAAGTACCCAACAAAGAAAACCATCTGTTTGCTCTGGGTCTATATTGCTATTATTTCTTATTATAGATTATTGATGCYTTACCCAGTTTCTCATGCAGCATATTATGTCTAAAGTTTGTCAGGTGTGTATGAATTGTATTATCATTCATTTAACTGGCCCAGGATTAGTTATTTTTACACATTGAGCTATTAAATCAGGTTTATAACTGATTTTCACATTTTTCTATTCTATTCAAATTCCAACAACTGAACACTTTGCATGAATGAAATGTAATTTTGAAAATGAGTCTTATACAAATATAGCYTTCAACAGAATCTGACAGAAGTTCGATGTAGGTCGGAATAACAACCAGCCTGAAGAGTTCATGGACTTTTTATAGATTTACAATACAACAATGACTGGTTTTTAAATCCAGTCTTTTAGACGCATTGAAGAAATTAATCATCACTGACTTGATCAGTGCATTACAAGTTTTTAATTCCTAATATCATTCTATCTTTGATGATCTATGTTTATGCTATGTCGATCCAAACGATACTACCAAAGGTTCTCTGTGTTCTATTTGAAATCCAGATAATGATGCTTGGGCTCCTTTAGAAGCWGTTATGGTCTGTAAGAATAACAAAAAATTTATGATGAAGATGGTAGCTAATTTCTGTTATTATTTGTGAAACAATTTACTTCTACATGCAAGAACACTGTCATGAAATAAGAACATTTGTGAGTTACATGTAATTGAGAAGGACTTCATAATTAAAGTAGATCACTCATGATTCTCTGTTTTGTAGGATTCTTTCCTCTCCACAAAATATTTACAGTGTACTATGTACACTTCTCATTCTCCAGTAGACATATTTATTCCAATATTAGATGTATTGYCTGTACTTTTCAAAACCAATAATCCAGTTTCGAATTCTCCAATGCTCTGTGTTAGCCTCATTTGTGCGCAAAATATTCCTAATTGTGAGAATAAAAGTGTGAGATTTCAAATCAATTCTATTGTCTTTCATTTCGAATTCGAATTCCATGCGTGTTTTCGGGCTATCAATGAAACAAAAGAATATGTTACTTGGTTTTGAGGCTAACACAGAGCAAACTAGAACTCGAAATTGGAGTATTGTTTGATCTGGTTGATGATAGAGTTATCAATAAAAAGATTTTATTGATGATGATCATCACAGGTGAACAAGATAATGACTAGACCTTGTTAACTTACCAATTTGATATCAGCTATTGAAACAGGATTAGCAGCTAAAACTGCATTAGGAACATTAACACCTTGTGGCAAGTTCTTTCCTTTTGGTACTTGTGATGTATTAACATTGGACATCTTTGATCTGATYTGAAATAATGGGAGCTTTGGTTATGAAAAGTCTAGTTTTCCAGAGATTACTTTCAACTCTACCTATGTTATCTAAATAGTTACAAGCTAGTGCTGACTTTATCAAGATATGAACAGTTTTTCTATCCAGTGGTATTATTTCTGGTTGGGAAGAACAGGGAAAGAAGATTGCACCTGAGTTCCAAAGGGATAGAAAAGGTTATGATATATTTGAAATATTCAAAAGGGTCCACTTACAGATATAATCTTGTTCTTTCCATGTATTCTGTTCTTTCTAAACTATGTGGTTCTGTTGATTGTACATCAATCACTTTGCTGCAAAACACAATGGAATAGAATATCAATTCCAKTAACAATTTAATCAGAGTGTCACATGCCTAGAATTGACTAAAAGATAATTAGAAATACAGAAAACATGATTGCTGTTTTTGTTCAARTATGGTTGCAAATCAAGAATGTGACTTACTTCGCTGTTTGATGTAAGATTTTATTCAACATTGATTGTTCATCTGTCTTTGATAAAGGAGTTGATCCATTCTGAGCACCATCCTCTCTAAAAAAATATGAAGTATAAATCAACACTTGTTAAAAACTATCAATAGAAACCTTATCTAGTATCTACATGTAGCTGTTTTTGACAACATCTTTTGTTTTGAAAAATAATCACAGGTTATACAAACACAGAAACAATAGAGGACATTAATTTGAGTATGCACACTTTGAAAATAAATCATATTTATTCCCTGCCTCCTTTCCATGACTATTGGGGGGGATCAGACTAGATGTAGTGAGATCATGCGACATCAGGTCACATGACGAGTTATAGTAAGCTCACACTTGGAGAGTTCAAGAGTTCAATTGAGAATTCAATTGAGTTCAACATTTCGAGTGAATAAATCCTATCCAGTAGCATTGCTAGTTTATTTGTACCTAGTCCCACCTACAAAGAAAGAGGGGAGAGTGTGAATTTACACTATTGGTGTACAAGCTACCATACCTTGGTCTGTGGTTGTTTGGTATTGGTGCAGACTGTTCACCTGAGAGTAGAGGTGATCTCTCATTCACAACTCCCTATAATAGTAAAACATTATGTAAATAACATAAAGTGATAGCTGCTATTAAAATCATGAATATGCAAACTAGTGTAAGCTTATACCAGGGTCATGACATGTAGTAAGCGAAGCTTATTTTTTGAATTTCACAATAGGAATTTTCCACAGGCAAAAACAAGCAGTGTCTCTCGYACATTTACTGCTAATAGATAATTTTAATACTTTAAATGCTATGTTCAAGGATACCAAACACTAGTTTRACAAAGTTTTTGCAGAGATATGAAGAAAAATTTCTACGGCGTGACAGTCATGTGACATTAGAGTAGTACAAGGACAAGAGTACAAACCTGCTTTTCGGCGTCTTTATCGCCACTAAAACAACAGCCCATTGAGCTACCTTTACCTGGAACACCGTAAAATACTCTTCAATCTGTTCCTTAAGTTAATTTTGAMATAAACTTGAGATCTAACTCTCTTTGCCCTGACCGATGGTTTTCACGACAGGAAATGAAACGTCGACCTATGCCAGGCTACCAAGCATTTGCGCAAGGCCTCATGGGAGATCCAAATAACCGCCAACTTCAAATATTTGTTCGAGTTACGTTAGGTCTTTCTCTTCGAATTTCAAGCATTACAGGCTTGGAATGATTTTAGACTAGACTTTATTTTAAACCAGAGGTTCCTTGGTTTTAATTCAAGAGGATTTAACACGATCGCGGGTAATTAAGCGTCCTACCGGCGTTTGCAAAGAATCTTTGCGTTCGAATGTCTTGTATTAGTTGATGACCGTTGCTGTTGACAATCTGTAAGCTAAAGATTGATTTTTTTGCGAGAAGTCAAGATGAATAACAGTAGAGCTGATGCACTTTTACAATGGGTAAGACATTTATTAAGTCAATTAATTTATTTGCTAGCTTGTGGTTTTATATTTTTTTTTGTGATTTGTTGTGATTCTCCAAAAAATTCTTATAAGTTAAGCTTAGCATAACAAAAAAGCTAAATATATATTTTGATATTAACGTTTACGCAAACTCATAAATCAATCATTTGAATGTTGATATTTGCAGATAAATTCTGTAACTGGAAGTAAAGTAGTACATCTGACTGATGTTGCGACCCTAGAGAATGTGGAAATCCTATCAAAAGTAGTGAAATTGATGTAAGTATTTAAAGCAGACAATATTGACTGTGTCAAACAATTGTTAAATGTCCATAATGTGGAACCTATTATCAATTTCAGTGACAAGGAACACAATGCACCCTTTCCAGTTGGTACAGTGGAGGAAAGAATATGTTATATCTCCAATTATCTGGAAGGTGAATATGCTATAAACAATTATATGTAATGTCTAGTAAGTTATAAATGACATGTATGAAGCGCTATGCTTAAGTAATAACCAGCTTCTCGCAAAACATCCATGTACTGAGAAGTAAAGATGTAGAGAAAGTCAGATGCATCATTTAATATTTAATATCTCATGAATTTCCTGACAGGGATCTACCATAGCATAAATGGCTTTATTTCCTGTAAAAGTGTAGCTAAAGGAGATGAACTAGAAATTTGTAAAGTAAGTAAAGAATACTAATAATTTTGAGATCTTTATTTCTTGTGAAAACTTTGATATGATATACAATCATGCTGTAGTTCCTGTAAATAATGAGGGAATATTCTGTTTGTTTTTACAGCTCATTAGTTTACTTCTATGCGCAGCTGTGCTGCAGGGAAATAATGTGCCATATTTTATTGAGAAAATACACCATCTAGAAGACAAAGTTCAACATCATTTGAAAGCTATCATTGAGACCATGCTGTACAACACAGAGAAAGGAGAATTGAATGCCAAATTACTCACAAAACTTCTTCAAGAAACAGGTAACAATGGGAGCTAGGATAGATAACATTGCTGTGTTGATCAATATTGATTAAAGTATTAATGAAATTTCAAACCATAATCAATAGACTCAATTTAATTATTTCTGGTGTTTGTAGATACATGTACTGTTAAAGATGGAAATGGATTTTTCACAAGTCAGTCGCCAGTTTTCTCACCTGTTCCGCATTCACCAGCAGAAACAGTTTACTCTAATTCTCCTTTCTTGACGCTCATGCAGTCACCTCAAATGAAAAACAAACAAAAAGAGGTAGTGTAAAACATACAAAAACAATGACATTAGTAACAAAACTCTGAGTYGGGTTTCCTTGTAGTCTACACTAGGAAATAACATTCCCTTGTCCGTCACCTTTCCTAACCTTGAAAGACTATTCAGTACCAAAAAATGCCTTTTTTAAATTCTCAATCTTACCATAACTGAGAGTTTTTCAAGTTATTTAATTGGGGTTGAATATTTTAAAGCTCTCAAGGGTAGGAGAGATCAGTATTGGAGAAGAAAATGGGCTGGGTTATGCTATCAAATATAAAGTGTCTAGTTATTCATTCCTGGTTTTCATACATTACTTTATTATAATAGTACTCACTTTTATAATAGTCTATTATTTGATATCATGGAAGCTTGTGAGAGTTATCTGCAGTAATATCTCTAAATCATGTTATTTTTGTTTTGTAATGACTATAGTTTATTGTAAACAAACTGCACCAAAAAGTGAACACACTTCAAATTGATCTTGAAGCACAACATCATCTGCAGACAACTTTGGAATTTGAACTTGCTGAAAAAAATCAAGATATTGATACCAAAAGTATGTATTAAAGAAATTTGTCTCCATTTCTATTTGTGGTGAACTGGATATATAACATCAGTATTAAATCATTACATTATTTAAATTTGGTGGTTAGATACAAAGATCAGGCAATTACAAAAAGAACTTGTGCAAGTTAAGATGGTTGTAGATGAACTTGAATCG